TTGTTGATGCAGATCAGGTTTGTAAAAGTTTTTGTAGAAATTTCAACTAATCCTATAATTTTTCAATTTTTCTTTTACAAAGATAGATCTTTTGTTTTTGTAGTTGGGTAGACAATTTTAGATAAGGGATATTTTAATAACGAAGGAAGTCTGTCAGTGATAAAGTGTAGGGAGACTGTCCCTGAAAAGGAGTCTAGTTCTTCAGATAGGACAATAAATAGGGGACACGGCAGACTGTGTATGTTAAGGATCCTTCCACAATTTTAAATCAAAAAAGAGTAGAATACGGTCACCTGACAAAAGTCCTGTTGCACACTGTAACACATTGTCTGTCTTTATTAGTCCAAAATGGTCCATTTCTTGTCATTAGAATCTATAATTGATAACTCTGTAGTTTTTGGTTTGACGATTTTTTGGCGAGTTTCAATGGATCACAGAGTAGAAACAGATAATGTAATGTTTGTAAATAAATATCTTTAGATCGTAAGAACTGATATGCAGGAACTCCATGACCTAGATCTAGGTGGTGCCCCCTATGGTTATACACCATTCTGTGATAGTAAGAGAGAAATGGATGGTTTCAGGTAAGTTAAATGAGAATTATAATAACTATTATTGTTTATTTAGTATTAAGGTTTCTACTTAGCATCCCTTTCATGGAGTCAACATTATCATCTCTTTCAGGGAGTCCACATAGCTAAAAATGTTAAATTTAAATATTATTTCAGGTTTTGGAAGTCTGGATATTGGGCCAGTCATCTAGCTGGTAGAAAATATCATATTAGTGCGTTATATGTGGTAGATTTAAAACGATTTCGCCGTATCGCTGCCGGGGATCGACTACGAGGACAGTACCAAGGATTGAGCCAGGATCCAAACAGTTTATCCAACTTGGATCAAGATTTACCTAATAATATGATCCATCAAGTTGCTATAAAATCTCTTCCTCAAGATTGGCTGTATTGTGAAACATGGTGTGATCCTAATACTAAAAAAGATGCCAAAACTATAGATTTAGTAAGTATTGGTTTGGTACGATTCTATTTAGTAAGTATTGGTTTGGTACGATTCTATTTAGTAAGTATTGGTTTGGTACGATTCTATTTAATAAGTATTGGTTTGGTACGATTCTATTTAGTAAGTATTGGTTTGGTACGATTCTATTTAGTAAGTATTGGTTTGGAACGATTCTATTTAGTAAGTATTGTTTTGGTACGATTCTATGTAGTAAGTATTGGTTTGGTACGATTCTATTTAGTAAGTATTGTTTTGGTACGATTCTATTTAGTAAGTATTGGTTTGGTACGATTCTATTTAGTAAGTATTGTTTTGGTACGATTCTATTTAGTAAGTATTGGTTTGGTACGATTCTATTTAGTAAGTATTGGTTTGGTACGATTCTATTTAGTAAGTATTAGTTTGGTACGATTCTATTTAGTAAGTATTGTTTTGGTACGATTCTATTTAGTAAGTATTGGTTTGGTACGATTCTATTTAGTAAGTATTGTTTTGGTACGATTCTATTTAGTAAGTATTGTTTTGGTACGATTCTATTTAGTAAGTATTGGTTTGGTACGATTCTATTTAGTAAGTATTGTTTTGGTACGATTCTATTTAGTAAGTATTGGTTTGGTACGATTCTATTTAGTAAGTATTGTTTTGGTATGATTCTATTTAGTAAGTATTGGTTTGGTACGATTCTATTTAGTAAGTATTGTTTTGGTACGATTCTATTTAGTAAGTATTGTTTTGGTACGATTCTATTTAGTAAGTATTGGTTTGGTACGATTCTTTACTTTGCTCAATTGTCTGATTTTGGAAAGGTAACTTCTAATTAGATGTCCTGATGAGGATTGTGTATCTGAAACATGTTGGCAGTATGAGATGAGCTCTTGTCAAATGTTTTAAAAACTGTTTAAAAGCAGTTAAGATGAACTTGTTCCGGATGCTGGCTGTTGTCTTGGAGTTATTGATAAAATTGACACAAACGAATGATCTGAGAAACAGGTCAAGGACCTAAGTTATTGTCCATGAAAAACGATTGTATCTTGCTTTGTTCTACTTTCTATATTTGTAATTTCAGTGTAATAATCCATTAACCAAAGAACCCAAATTAAAAGCAGCCATGAGGATTGTTCCTGAATGGAAAAATTATGATTATGAAATCAAAGTATTATGGGATAGAATATATGGCACGAATACCAGATCACAGATAGAATATAATCCGCCTGGAGTGGAGGCTGAAAATATAGGTTGGTATACAAATTTATCTATTTGTTCTAGTCACTCTTTGATTTCTGATTTAAGAAGTCCAACAACAGTAAGGGAACGTGTTTGCTGTGGGAAGCGCGCGATGAGCTATTAATGTTTTATCGTTTTTCAGATTAATAAAAATATTTTGTATCCTGATTCTAAATTAGTCAGACCCTTAATTAGTCCTACTTTAAAAAATTGGATTTCAAAACGTCTTTCTCTTATAAATCTTCCTTTCCTTTCATTTGACCAATCAGAAACTTTGCACTTTAAATTCCATTTTTTTTTTACTCTTGAATTAAAATGCTTTTTTTTTCATTTCAGAAAATCATGATGAATTATAACACAGTGTAAAAATTAGGTTTAAAATATTTTGTTTCATTATAAAATGGTGGTTTAAGGAGTTTATTGGGAGAATGATGGGTGAAAGGTAGTGTGGATTGTATAGTAACTTGATAAAACACTCCAGCTCCAGTAGGGAGAGTTTTACCGACCAGCTGCGGGCACACGGAAACAAAAATCTTCAGTCGGTCGTTTTCCATTATATTGATAATCACTAGATGATGTTCAACAAAGTAAGCAATCAGTGACTAATCAGATAGATTTGATGTTCAAAATCCTGTTGGCAACGCAATAATCTTGTCCTGCAAACGTGGGCATACGTGAGATTTTACTCAAGACAAATATCAGCGACTGTCACTGTTCGTGTGCCTGCAGTATTATTAATTTCATTTCACTGTCATAATTTTTTTTGTCTATAGTCGAACATTGATGTAACATTACAAATAATCCAGGGCTGTTGATTGGTCTCGATTTTCCGGACATGACTGCAGGCAAATCATCCAATGATAAGTTTATTCTAATGTCTATCACTGAATTGAACTGAGTTTTTTATCCAAATATTGAAGTGTATATCAGTCTAGAGGCATTTATCCATCAATTCTGTTATGACACGGTACAGCACGACATGATACCAATACGACACAACAATTCAATATACACTCATTTACTGAAACAGTATGACAATAAAATATTGCTGTAGTATCTGCTCAAAAGATAACTTCACCATTTTGTACTAAAACCACGGGAAACATGGAACGACATGTCTGAAAATAGATGATTTATCTATTTCTATTATCGTGTCAAAGGACTGTAGTCAGTAGCTATGGTTTATGCAATTTATCTTGTTTCTATTTGTTTGATGTGTGAAACCATGTCGTGTCAGATCTGGTGTATGGATACCTTTAGTTGGACACAACCAGCTGTTGTTCTTATTAATTAGAAATATCAAATCCTTTTCATGTTATTTGTTTTAGAAATTCCTTAGAAAGTGAAATAGTAAATAAATAAATTCAGTAAAGAAAGTGTAAAAGTATACAAGAAAGATATTTAGAATATATTTGTCTTGATAAACTTCTAATATAAAGTTTGTTAGGAGAAGATAGGTGAATTGTAAAACTTTATTTCAGGAGAATCTTGTTGTTTAAACGTATTACAGAATATTGTACATTTTTATAGTAATTCATACTCGAGACAGTCAATATATAAAATTACTCAATTTACAGTCAGGGCTCAATTAAGACTGAAAAATCTGATCAGCAAATGATCACACCAAATTTTACTTTTGGCTAATCAAGTTTAATTTTGAGTCACATTTCTTAAAAAATTCAGAAGCAATTTATAATGCTCCAGTAGAAAACCTTCATATATATAATTAGATTTGATTTCCAGATCGTTGTGATAGATTTAATAAATTTTGGCCAATCATTTTGAAACGCAAATTGCGATGCGATACCACTTTAATTGAAACCTGCTGACTGGTAATATTTGTAGTATTTATAGAGATGAGGGAAATGAAACTATATAGATTAATTAGAGGTATAAGAAATGATACTTAGAGAAAATAAAGTAGTTAAATTGGTCAATTAGAATGATACAACATCATATTTTCCAATCCTGCTCTAATTTTTCAGTAATAATTTTGTTGATTTAAAAGAAATGCGTTACAAAAATTTGAGTTGAATTAGTTGTGTATGAAAAATCACTTGACAAAATATTTTAACTCAAATTTCATTGAAAACCTTTGGAGGTGTATAAATATTTGTTCATAATTGTAGTTTTCTGTAGCTCTTTTCACAATGAGAATCTAACATGAGTAACATATGAAAAGTTGAATTGAAATGTTTGTGTATTGTTAATAATAAAGCTGTAGGCCTATATCTGAGTTGATCTCAGGTGTCTATAGAAGAACAGGATGTAAAACTCCATTTCATTTCAGGTAGCTTATCTATCATAATTTATGTGTATTTGTAAATAATGACTAACATTCCTGTGGTCTGTCTAATAAAATACAAAATCTTTTCTCTATTGTTTTTTCTATTGTTATTTATTGTGCCAAGAAGTTTGTAACCTTTAAATGATCAAAATCCATATTACAAAAGGATATCAAAGTTGGTGAAACAAACCATGTGTTAGTTAAATCACCCCTCTAGACCAATGGAAAATGCCTGTTTAGAGATGTTGTTGGTTTATTGTGCAAAAAGCTCCCCGAAGTCAATTGTCGTCTGCGAGAGCATAAGAACACCACATATCACAAGAAGTTTTTAAGGTTAAAATATCAACACCCTAGGAGAGACCGGCCATGCAGTCTTTGATCCAAACACTAGCTTTTTGACTCAAAGACTAGCCCATTTACTCACAGACTAACATATTGACTGGCAGACTAACATATTGACGTCACAGACTAACATATTGACTCGCAGATAACATATTAACTCACAGACTAACATATTGACTCGCAGACTAACATATTAACTCACAGACTAACATATTAACCCACAGACTGACATATTGACTCACAGACTAACATATTAACACACAGACTAACATATTGACCCACGGACTAACATATTAACTCGCGGACTAACATATTAACTCACAGACTGACATATTGACTCACAGACTAAAATATTAACTCACAGACAGACAATTTAACTCACAGACTAACACAATGACTCACGAATTAACTCATTGACTCACAGACTAACATTTTGACTCACAGACTAACACATTGACTCACAGACTAACACATTGACTCACAGACATATACATCGACCCAGAGACTTAAACATTGGCTAACAGACTAACATATCGACTCACAGACTAACTCATTGGCTCACAGACTAACACATCGACTCAGAGACTTACACATTGGCTAACAGACTAACATATCGACTCACAGACTAACTTATTGACTCGAAGGCTAACTCATTGACTCACAGACTAACACATTGTCTCACAGACTAACACATTGACTTACAACCTACACATTGACTCACAGACATACACATTGGCTCAAAGACTAACACATTGACTCACAGACTAACATATTGACTCACAGACTAACATATTGACTCGCAGACTAACTCATTGTCTCACAGACCAACCCATTGGCTCACAGAACAACTCATTGACTCACAGACGAATTCATTGATTCACAGGCGACTTCATTGAGCCAGACTAACTCATTGACTCGCAGACTAACTCATTGTCTTACAGACTAACATATTGACGCACAGACTAACTCATTGACTCGCAGACTAACACATTGACTCAAAGACTAATACATTGACTCACAGACTTAATCAATGACTCACAGACGAATTCATTAACTCACAGACGAATTCATTGACTCACAGACTAACATATTGACTCATATACGAAATCATTGATAGACAGACACATTGACTTACAGACTAACTCACTGACTCACAGACTAACATATTGACTCACAGACTAGCACATTGACTCACATACTAACATACCGACTCACAGACTAACATACCGACTCACAGACATACACATTGACTAACAGACTTTGACATTGGCTCACAAACATATTGATATATAGACTAGCACATTGGCTCACAGACTAACACATTGACTCACAGACTAACCCATTGACTTACAACCTACACATTGACTCACAGACATACACATTGGCTCAACGACTAACACATTGACTCACAGACTACCTCATAGGCTCACAGACTAACTCATTGACTCGTAAGCTAACAAATTGACTCAAAGAATAACACATTAGCTCACAGACTTCACATTGACTAACAGACTAACATATTGACTCACAGACTAATTCAATGACTCACAGACTAACACTTGACTCACGGACTAACATATTAACTCACAGACTAATTCAATGACTCACAGACTAATTCAATGACTCACAGACTAACATATTGACTCGCGACTAACATATTGACTCACAGACTAACTCATTTACTCACAGACTAACACATTGACTCACAGACTAACTCATTGACTCACGGACTAACACCATGACTCACAGATTAACTCATTGACTCACAGAATAACACATTAGCACACAGACTTCACATTGACTAACAGACTAACATATTGACTCACAGACTAATTCAATGACTCACGGACTAACATATTAACTCACAGACTAATTCAATGACTCACAGACTAATTCAATGACTCACAGACTAACATATTGACTCGCAGACTAACATATTGACTCACAGACTAACTCATTTACTCACAGACTAACACATTGACTCACAGACTAACTCATTGACTCACGGACTAACGCCATGACTCACAGACTAACAGATTGACTCGCGGACTAACACCATGACTTACGGACTAACCTATTAACTCACAGATTAATTCAATGATTCATAGACTAACTCATTGACTCACAGATTAACATATTAACTCACAGACTTCACATTGACTCACAGACTAACATATTGACTCGTAGACTAAGTCATTGACTCAGAGGCTAACTCATTGACTCACAGACTACAATATCGACTTACAGACTATCCCAATGACTCACAGACTAATATATTGTCGCACAGACTAACACATTGACTCACAGACCAACATATTGACTCATAGACTAACTCATTGACTCACGGACTAACACCATAACTCACAGACTAACTGATTGACTCACGGACTAACAGGTTGACTCACAGACTAACATATTGACTTACAGACTAACATATTGACTTACAGACTAACATATTGACATACAGACTAACTCAATGACTCACAAACTAAGATACTGACTCACAGAGTAACGCATTGACTTGTAGACTAACATATTGACATTGAAAAATCGTTAACCCTAAACTCGTGCGTCATGACCAATTAAATCTACGTCTGGTTTTACCGAGCATTCTGAGTTAGATGTTCCCTTGACAGTTATTGACACACAAACCTCAAATGTCATGAAGAAGCTTTTATAGTCGTTATGGAGAACTTCTTGATAAATACTTTGGCTCATTTGTTTGGTCAGGCATGAATTGATTTGTTTGTATCTCATGATTTTGACCATTGTATAAGTGTCGAGGGCGAAGCAGACCAAGTTTACTCTTTTCGAAACACCCGATGGCACTTCTCTTTGGAAGAATCTACTATACAACTTATACTCTCGATTTTTCCATATTTTGGACAAGATTTTCTACCCTGTACATTTTGGTTCTTTTAAAACAAGTTTGAATGCAGTTTTCGCCTTTTATAATGAATTAAAACGAGTTCTACTCTTTATCAATGATCTTTGTTATTAAGTAAATATATGATTGAAGTATGACCCAGTCTAACTATGAAATATCAGATTTAATGAATGAGAAATGGCTGGCATGGGTTCGAATCCCTACACAGTGTTACGACTATTGACGACTAATCAATGAATTTTGCTTAATATTAGATTTGAGTCTAACCCAGTCTTAACTTGGAATAATAATTCGTTTATATGGGAATGATTGAATGATAGGTGGAACGGGTTTGAATCCTTTTTTAGTGTCGAGTCTCTCGATGTTATTATCGTAATATTTGATTTGAATCTAAGCAAGTTTTTTATTGATAAATAGATTGAATATTTCAATTCTATTGGAATGGGTTAATGTTAAATGGGTTGCATGGGTTCGAATCCTTTTTGATGTGACGGCTAGATTCTTCTCAGATTATGATTTGATTCTAACTGTCATAGAATATGTAATTCAGAATGAATGAAGGATGAATAAGTGGCGTGGGTTCGAATCCTTTCTTGTTCCAACTAATCGATGTTATTGAGTAAATATTTGATTGGATTCCAAGTCGAGTTTTCTCTGTCATGGAATAAATAATTCAGTCATATTGGAATGAATGAATGATGACTATCTAACGTGAGAAGAGAATAGAGTATATTTATCCTACAGTCTCAGTGTTCACTGGAAAACACGTTCTGTTAGCAATCTACCGGTATATATATATATCATATCAACATCGAGACAATTCAACGATAGTTATGATGAAGTATTGTGCTATACTGAAACTTGGGATTAGGAATCTACGGAAGTGACGTCACAGAATCTTAGTAGACTCCTTCGATGTAGTTTTATTAATCAATTTCTGAGAGTTATTAACGGAACAAACAACGCACAACGTTTCAACAGTTTACGTGGAGATGTTCTATTCATTGTTGAGGAGGCACTTGCAATTTTCAGATTATTAAGCAGTTTTTCGTCTTTTAAAGCGAAGAGCGCAATACAAAAACTAACTAATTATCTTATGTTATATTTCTGGATGTTTGTGTACAACGTTTCGACAATTTATATAGCAAGGTGGCTATTTCATCTGGAATGATTTATTATATTCGGAAGTGACCACTTATTCTGTTTCATTTTTATGATTACGTCAGTAATACTTTCATGAAACGGATGTGACGTCATGTATTAGCCCATATTACACAAATGAACTCTGGTGTATTATTGAGATTTTAATCATTTACCTACTCTGGCCACAGAAAACGACCACTGTACCCAGCACTAGTTCAACACTATTTATTTTATGTATATGCTTCATTAGCGTGAAAGTGACAATAAATAAAAAAGAAGAAAATCTAATCTAATCATCAATCAGACGAGAAAGAGATTGAATGAAGGCTGATTAGTAGGTGAAATAGCGCAAAGCGGAAGTGACGATACTGAAGATGTTTGCCAGCAGCACATGTCACCTTGACGACGGTCTGGATGAACAGACAACTTTAAACAGACCGTACTCAGATACAGACGACCTACAAAATGGTAAGTTTTGAGATTTTTCACCAAAAAAGAATTTCTTTTTCCCCGTAAGTTAGCTCTGAACTTTACCAACCAATAAAGGTGAATTCCAGATATCATACTAGTCTAAAACTATCTGACTCTTACCTAGTCTCTGATAGATATTATACTAGTCTGAAACTAGCTGACTCTTACCTAGTCTCTGATAGATATTATACTAGTCTGAAACTAGCTGTCTCTTACCTAGTCTCTGATAGATATTACACTAGTCTGAAACTAGCTGTCTCTTACCTAGTCTCTGATAGATATTATACTAGTCTGAAACTAACTGACTCTTACCTAGTCTCTGATAGATATTATACTAGTCTGAAACTAGCTGTCTCTTACCTAGTCTCTGATAGTTATTATACTAGTCTGAAACTAGCTGACTCTTACCTAGTCTCTGATAGATATTATACTAGTCTGAAACTAGCTGTCTCTTACCTAGTCTCTGATAGATATTATACTAGTCTGAAACTAGCTGACTCTTACCTAGTCTCTGATAGATATTATACTAGTCTGAAACTAGCTGTCTCTTACCTAGTCTCTGATAGATATTATACTAGTCTGAAATTAGCTGACTCTTACCTAGTCTCTGATAGTTATGATACTAGTTTGAAACTAACTGACTCTCACCTAGTCTCTGATAGTTATTATACTAGTCTGAAACTAACTGACTCTTACCTAGTCTTTGATAGATATTATACTAGTCTGAAACTAGCTGTCTCTTACCTAGTCTCTGATAGATATTATACTAGTCTGAAACTAACTGTCTCTTACTTAGTCTCTGATGGATAGTATACTAGTCTGAAACTAACTGACTCTTACCTAGTCTCTGATAGATATTATACTAGTCTGAAACTAACTGACTGACTCTTACCTAGTCTCTGATAGATATTATACTAGTCTGAAACTAGCTGACTCTTACCTAGTCTCTGATAGTTATTATACTAG